CCTTGTGCTCACCCCTTGTGCCTTCCCCTTGTGCTCACCCCTTGTGCCTTCCCCTTGTGCTCACCCTTGTGCATTCCCCTTGTGCTCACCCCTTGTGCCTTCCCCTTGTGCTCACCCTTGTGCCTTCCCCTTGTGCTCACCCCTTGTGCCTTCCCCTTGTGCTCACCCCTTGTGCATTCCCCTTGTGCTCACCCCTTGTGCCTTCCCCTTGTGCTCACCCCTTGTGCCTTCCCCTTGTGCTCACCCCTTGTGCCTTCCCCTTGTGCTCACCCCTTGTGCCTTCCCCTTGTGCTCACCCCTTGTGCCTTCCCTTGTGCTCACCCCTTGTGCCTTCCCCTTGTGCTCACCCCTTGTGCCTTCCCCTTGTGCTCACCCCTTGTGCCTTCCCCTTGTGCTCACCCCTTGTGCCTTCCCCTTGTGCTCACCCCTTGTGCCTTCCCCTTGTGCTCACCCCTTGTGCATTCCCCTTGTGCTCACCCCTTGTGCCTTCCCTTGTGCTCACCCTTGTGCCTTCCCCTTGTGCTCACCCCTTGTGCCTTCCCCTGTGCTCACCCCTTGTGCATTCCCCTTGTGCTCACCCCTTGTGCCTTCCCCTTGTGCTCACCCCTGTGCCTTCCCCTTGTGCTCACCCTTGTGCCTTCCCCTTGTGCTCACCCCTTGTGCATTCCCCTTGTGCTCACCCTTGTGCATTCCCCTGTGCTCACCCCTTGTGCATTCCCCTTGTGCTCACCCTTGTGCATTCCCCTTGTGCTCACCCCTTGTGCATTCCCCTTGTGCTCACCCCTTGTGCATTCCCCTTGTGCTCACCCCTTGTGCATTCCCCTTGTGCTCACCCCTTGTGCATTCCCCTTGTGCTCACCCCTTGTGCATTCCCCTTGTGCTCACCCCTTGTGCATTCCCCTTGTGCTCACCCTTGTGCATTCCCCTTGTGCTCACCCCTTGTGCATTCCCCTTGTGCTCACCCCTTGTGCATTCCCCTTGTGCTCACCCCTTGTGCATTCCCCTTGTGCTCACCCTTGTGCATTCCCCTTGTGCTCACCCCTTGTGCATTCCCCTTGTGCTCACCCCTTGTGCATTCCCCTTGTGCTCACCCCTGTGCATTCCCCTTGTGCTCACCCTTGTGCATTCCCCTTGTGCTCACCCCTTGTGCATTCCCCTTGTGCTCACCCCTTGTGCCTTCCCTTGTGCTCACCCCTTGTGCATTCCCCTTGTGCTCACCCTTGTGCATTCCCTTGTGCTCACCCCTTGTGCATTCCCCTTGTGCTCACCCCTTGTGCATTCCCCTTGTGCTCACCCCTTGTGCATTCCCCTTGTGCTCACCCCTTGTGCATTCCCCTTGTGCTCACCCCTTGTGCATTCCCCTTGTGCTCACCCCTTGTGCATTCCCCTTGTGCTCACCCCTTGTGCATTCCCCTTGTGCTCACCCCTTGTGCATTCCCCTTGTGCTCACCCCTTGTGCATTCCCCTTGTGCTCACCCCTTGTGCATTCCCCTTGTGCTCACCCCTTGTGCATTCCCCTTGTGCTCACCCCTTGTGCATTCCCCTTGTGCTCACCCCTTGTGCATTCCCCTTGTGCTCACCCCTTGTGCATTCCCCTTGTGCTCACCCTTGTGCATTCCCCTTGTGCTCACCCCTTGTGCATTCCCCTTGTGCTCACCCCTTGTGCATTCCCCTTGTGCTCACCCCTTGTGCATTCCCCTTGTGCTCACCCCTTGTGCATTCCCTTGTGCTCACCCCTTGTGCATTCCCCTTGTGCTCACCCCTTGTGCCTTCCCCTTGTGCTCACCCCTTGTGCATTCCCCTTGTGCTCACCCCTTGTGCATTCCCCTTGTGCTCACCCCTTGTGCATTCCCCTTGTGCTCACCCCTTGTGCATTCCCCTTGTGCTCACCCCTTGTGCATCCCCTTGTGCTCACCCCTTGTGCATTCCCCTTGTGCTCACCCCTTGTGCATTCCCCTTGTGCTCACCCCTTGTGCATTCCCCTTGTGCTCACCCCTTGTGCATTCCCCTTGTGCTCACCCCTTGTGCATTCCCCTTGTGCTCACCCCTTGTGCATTCCCCTTGTGCTCACCCCTTGTGCATTCCCCTTGTGCTCACCCCTTGTGCATTCCCCTTGTGCTCACCCCTTGTGCATTCCCCTTGTGCTCACCCCTTGTGCATTCCCCTTGTGCTCACCCCTTGTGCATTCCCCTTGTGCTCACCCCTTGTGCATTCCCCTTGTGCTCACCCCTTGTGCATTCCCCTTGTGCTCACCCCTTGTGCATTCCCCTTGTGCTCACCCCTTGTGCATTCCCCTTGTGCTCACCCCTTGTGCATTCCCCTTGTGCTCACCCCTTGTGCATTCCCTTGTGCTCACCCCTTGTGCATTCCCCTTGTGCTCACCCTTGTGCATTCCCCTTGTGCTCACCCCTTGTGCATTCCCCTTGTGCTCACCCCTTGTGCATTCCCCTTGTGCTCACCCCTTGTGCATTCCCCTTGTGCTCACCCCTTGTGCATTCCCCTTGTGCTCACCCTTGTGCATTCCCCTTGTGCTCACCCCTTGTGCATTCCCCTTGTGCTCACCCCTTGTGCCTTCCCCTTGTGCTCACCCCTTGTGCATTCCCCTTGTGCTCACCCCTTGTGCATTCCCCTTGTGCTCACCCCTTGTGCATTCCCCTTGTGCTCACCCCTTGTGCATTCCCCTTGTGCATTCCCCTTGTGCTCACCCCTTGTGCATTCCCCTTGTGCTCACCCCTTGTGCATTCCCCTTGTGCTCACCCCTTGTGCATTCCCCTTGTGCTCACCCCTTGTGCATTCCCCTTGTGCTCACCCCTTGTGCATTCCCCTTGTGCTCACCCCTTGTGCATTCCCCTTGTGCTCACCCCTTGTGCATTCCCCTTGTGCTCACCCCTTGTGCATTCCCCTTGTGCTCACCCCTTGTGCATTCCCCTTGTGCTCACCCCTTGTGCATTCCCCTTGTGCTCACCCCTTGTGCATTCCCCTTGTGCTCACCCTTGTGCATTCCCCTTGTGCTCACCCCTTGTGCATTCCCCTTGTGCTCACCCCTTGTGCATTCCCCTTGTGCTCACCCCTTGTGCATTCCCCTTGTGCTCACCCCTTGTGCATTCCCCTTGTGCTCACCCCTTGTGCATTCCCCTTGTGCTCACCCCTTGTGCATTCCCTTGTGCTCACCCCTTGTGCATTCCCCTTGTGCTCACCCCTTGTGCATCCCCTTGTGCTCACCCCTTGTGCATTCCCCTTGTGCTCACCCCTTGTGCATTCCCCTTGTGCTCACCCCTTGTGCATTCCCCTTGTGCTCACCCCTTGTGCATTCCCCTTGTGCTCACCCCTTGTGCATTCCCCTTGTGCTCACCCCTTGTGCATTCCCCTTGTGCTCACCCCTTGTGCATTCCCCTTGTGCTCACCCCTTGTGCATTCCCCTTGTGCTCACCCCTTGTGCATTCCCCTTGTGCTCACCCCTTGTGCATTCCCTTGTGCTCACCCCTTGTGCATTCCCCTTGTGCTCACCCCTTGTGCATTCCCCTTGTGCTCACCCCTTGTGCATTCCCCTTGTGCTCACCCCTTGTGCATTCCCCTTGTGCTCACCCCTTGTGCCTTCCCCTTGTGCTCACCCCTTGTGCATTCCCCTTGTGCTCACCCCTTGTGCATTCCCCTTGTGCTCACCCCTTGTGCATTCCCCTTGTGCTCACCCTTGTGCATTCCCCTTGTGCATTCCCCTTGTGCTCACCCCTTGTGCATTCCCCTTGTGCTCACCCCTTGTGCATTCCCCTTGTGCTCACCCTTGTGCATTCCCCTTGTGCTCACCCCTTGTGCATTCCCCTTGTGCTCACCCTTGTGCATTCCCCTTGTGCTCACCCCTTGTGCATTCCCCTTGTGCTCACCCCTTGTGCATTCCCCTTGTGCTCACCCTTGTGCATTCCCCTTGTGCTCACCCCTTGTGCATTCCCCTTGTGCTCACCCCTTGTGCATTCCCCTTGTGCTCACCCCTTGTGCATTCCCCTTGTGCTCACCCCCTTGTGCATTCCCCTTGTGCTCACCCCTTGTGCATTCCCCTTGTGCTCACCCCTTGTGCATTCCCCTTGTGCTCACCCTTGTGCATTCCCCTTGTGCTCACCCCTTGTGCATTCCCCTTGTGCTCACCCCTTGTGCATTCCCCTTGTGCTCACCCCTTGTGCATTCCCCTTGTGCTCACCCCTTGTGCATTCCCCTTGTGCTCACCCCTTGTGCATTCCCCTTGTGCTCACCCCTTGTGCCTTCTCCTCCACACCCCACACTCCCCTCCCCGGCCTGCTTTCCGCCGGTGTATCGTGCTGTTGGGCCGGCTGTTGTGGCGAATCCAGCGAATCCGTGTCTCACCTCCCTCCACTCACAGGTCCCCCGGGGGCGCCGGAGCTGTCGTGGGAGCGGCGGGTGCGCATAGCAGCGGGGGCGGCGAGGGGGCTGGCACACCTGCACCGGCAGCGACCACAGATCCTGCATCGTGATGTCAAGGCACCCAACATCCTGCTCACCTCCAACTTCACTGCCAAGGTGCGCAGCACGGGGCAGTATCGGCCGTCAAATCACATCCCATCATACTGTAATGCCAATCCACTCTGTGCCTCAGTGCGCCCTGAAGCCCTCCGCTTCCACTCCTGTGCTTCTCTCTCAACTTCACTCCCAAAATCTTCCTCATCCTCACCACCCCCAGGTGGCGGACTTTGGGTGCGCCAAGCTGATACGGCGCACGGAGGTGGTGGAGGATGCGGTGACGGGCCGGCAGGTGGAGCTCCGTGCCGCCACTCCCTGCCCCCACCCCACATGCATCCTCTCACTCTCACTTTGCAACCCAACCCCCCTCTCCCCCCTCCCCCTCCCCCCATCAGGTGGCGGATTTTGGGTGCGCCAACCTGATACGGCGCACGGAGGTGGTGGAGTGCCCTGGCGCTCCCTCCATCTCGCTCCCCTCATTGAACCCCGTTCTTCCACTCCCTGCCGTCGTCCGTCCTCCCTTTCCTCAGGTGGCGGACTTTGGGTGCGCCAAGCTGATACGGCGCACGGAGGTGGGGAGGATGCGGTGACGGGCAGGCAGGTGGAGCGGCTGTGCGACAGTGTGGACTACGCCATGGGCACTCCGGGGCACATGGCGCCTGAGATGCTCATGACGGGGGAGATCAGCGCCGCCACTGATGTGTACAGGTGTGTGAAGGGGGGTAGACAGGTTAACCCTTTCACGGTTAACCCTTTGTGCCTTTCATTCGACCCCTGTCATCCCTCTCGTCTACCTTGCTCCACTCCTTACCATTCCAAACCCACCTTCTCTTCACCCCTTCCAACCCCCTCCAATCTTTTGCACCCATGCAACCCCCAATCCTTTCCCCGCCCGCCCAGTTTCGGAGTGGTGCTGCTGCAGCTGGTGACGGGCCGGCTCCCAATCGACGCCAACCGGCAGCAGCTGACGCTGTGGGCGCCGCCGCTGCTTGAGGAGGAGCGCTGGGAGGAGCTGGTGGACCCGCGCCTGCAGCGCGCCCTGCTCGCCCGCGCCACTGGGGGGGGCGCAGGGGGCGCAGGTGGGGGGCGAGGGGGGGAGGACGGGGCAGGGGCGGGGGCAGTGGGGGGAGCAGTGGAGGAGTTGAGGCGGCTAGTGGCAGGGAGGTCGGTGGGGGCGGTGTCTGCAGCTGGCGGGCACGTGTCTTGACATGGACCCCCTGCAACGCCCCTCCATGGAGGACGTGGCGCTCTCCCTGCTCGCCATCTACAGCTCAGGTGCCCACCTCTTTCTTCCTCCCTGCCGCCCACCCTCACCTCCACGGATTCTTAACCACTGCCTCTCCCGCCCTGCCACCTCTCCCTCACACGCCCCGTCTTCCCCTCCTCCCCTCCCTCCCTCCCACCAACCTCCCCCCCAGCGTGCGCGGAGCGGGACGAGGCGGTGCAGCCGGCAAGCGAGGGCTTCAGAAGCGGGCGAGTGCTGCCACCCGCCGGCCCGTCTGACCCCACGCGGGCGGGGTCGGGGGGGAGTGGCATGCAGGGGGCGGGTGTGGGGGGGGGAGCGGGGCAGTGGCGGGGGGAAGTGCGCGGCTGACTGCCAGTGCGGGGCTGTCAGAGTCGCCTGAGAGGCCAGCAGGGTCTGCCAAGGCCAGATTCCAAAGGTGCTGCTCTGCCCGCCCACACCATGCCTTTGTGCCCTGCACACCTTGTCATGCACTTCTGCTCTGCATCCTGTGTTGCTTTGAGCACGCCCCTACGCTGTGCATGCCTCTTGCGCTGTGCATGCCCCTTACGCTGTGCATGCCCCTTACGCTGTGCATGCCCCTTACGCTGTGCATGCCCCTTACGCTGTGCATGCCCCTTACGCTGTGCCTGCCCGATGCTGTGCATGCCCCTTGCGCTATGCCTGCCCCATGTGCTGTTCCTGCCGTGACACCTCACCCGTGTGTCTCTTTCTCACTCACTTCCTCTCCCAACACCAGGAACCGGTCAGCGCGGCACACGAGCTTTGGATGACTCTGCTCGGCCAGTGTACATGGATCAGCAGCTTGGGATGATGCTGGGGCCACAGTGCATGCAGGGATGCATGCAGGGAGGCACACAGCCGTGTTTATTAGCACAGCACGGTGGGGATTCAGAGCATGATCAGGCAGAGCCGGGGGCTCGAGCCAGCCATACACCACCACAGCATGCCATGTGTGCCGTGCCACGCACCCATGTGCTCGCACTGTGTGCCCATGCGCTGGCAGTGGTAGGGTGCAGCGTGTGCGCTGCTGAATAATAGTCCACCTGTTGAGTGTGGCCACGTAGGCAGGAGCAGCAGTGAGGCGCATTGCCTTGTGTGTCTGTCATGGGACCGTAGAGCCTTCCTGCTTCTACACACATCATCCTTATCTCCGCCCATTGCAGCAGTGGGGGCAGAGCCATGCACTTACCAGTCCAGTGGGTGTGTGGCAGGGTGGGGAAAGATGCTCATACCAGCAGTGAATGCACACTTAATCAACACCAGGGGATGTTTAGGTGTATCTGTGTTACACTCATTATTTCATCTTCGCCATACAGTGACTATCCCGCAGGCATATTCGCCATCTAGTCATTCCAGCAAAGCAGGGGCACTATAGGTTGTAGTATTGTACTGGTATGTAGCAGCTATGGTACTAATATCCCTGTCCCCTGCTGCCACGGCAGCGCATTAGCGTTGCGCCGTTAGCTTAGCTATCAGTTCGCCTATGGTACGAAAGGGTACATTCCAACGCAGTCGTGCTGCAATACTCAATGCAGCACCACTGCTCTCCTTAGCCCCTCCTTCAAGCGATGCCGTGTTCGCGGCGCCACGTTTCGTAGAAGAGGTCGACCCAGGTGTCGGGCAGGCCGGGCATGCAGGGGTGCAGGCAGTCCTGCGACCTGGGGCGCTGTGCGGCGATCATGGCATCGGAGCGGGCGAGCGAGGGGGGGTGATGTCCACCAGGCGGATGGTGCGGCTGCCCTGAAACACGTTCGCCTGCGTGGGGTACCACACGCGGCTCTGCGAGTTGTTGCGCTCAAAGAAGGACACCTGTGCACGCGTGATGGGGGGGAAGGGGGAAGTGGCGGAGCAAGGGGAGTTAGGGGAGACGCCGTGCGTTCTGTGTTCCACGTGCGCTGGATGCCTCTCTCTGCAAATCACATGCCTCTCTCCGTACCGCCGCACACAGCCCCACAGCAGGCCTTAGTCTCTCCAGCTTAAGACACTCGCAGGCGGTGAGCAGCCGGAAAGGTAGTTGGGCGCACATGTGAGCGGGGCGCATAGGTAATTGGGCGCACGTATGAGCGGGCGCACAGGTGATTGGGCGCACATATGAGCGGGCGCACAGGTGATTGGGCGCACATATGAGCGGGCGCATAGGTAATTGGGCGCACGTATGAGCGGGCGCACAGGTGATTGGGCGGGCAGCAGGCATGATGCGCCCATTGACCATCCGCCCCTGCCTCTGTGCCCCCTCTGCTCTGCACTCACTGTCTCCCGCTCTTCTCCCCCCACTGCTCTTTGCCCCAGGTCTCCTCCCCTTTAGCCCGTCCCTCTTCCCCCAACGCACCATATCCGGAGGGCTGGCGGCCTTGGCGCCCTGGCAACCCGCGAGGCGCGGCGGCGCGGAGAGGAAGTACATGGGCGGCAGCCGCCACCGCTTCACGCTCTTCGCGTCGAACGTGCGCGCCAGCCGCCGCAGCGCCATCCTGCGGAGGAGGTGGGGGGACGCGGGCGGGTGTGGGAATGGGGAGCGGCAGGCGATGCGGATGAGGCAATGAGCAGGCCATGGGGAAGAGAGGGATAGCAATGGAGCATGGAGCACGGGGCATTGCGAATGGCGAATGGGGCACGGTGCGGAGGGCAGAGGGCAGGAGAAGGGGGCCGGGCGTACTTGTAGGCCTGCACGGTGTTGGGTTCGGGCTTGATGAGCTGCCACTTGCGATCCACGAAGAAGCGCCGCAGCCACGTCTTGGCGTGCGGCCAGTGCGTCGCCGACTGGAACAGCACCAGCCCGAACCGCCCGACCTTGTCGAACCACGTGGGGTCGAACGTGTGCAGGTTCACGGCCGTGTCGCCCAGCCCGGGGTTGGTGACTTTAATGCGCGCAAGCACTTCGTTCTGCGTGGAGTAGGCCATGAGGAAGGGGCTCCAGTAGTTGACGATGGTGACGTTGTTGTACGCCGCGACGCGCCACACGAACTTGCTCAGCGCGTCGTCCGACACCTTGCTCACCGCCGACACGCGGTGGATCTGACACAGCATCGACGGCAAAAAGCCCTCGTACATGAGCGAGTCGCCCACCATCGCGATCACCCTGCGCGCCGCACCACGACGAGGGGACAGGGAAGGGGGGCGTGGGAAGGGAAGCAGGGTGGTGAGGCTGTGCGGCAAGGCTGCTTCTCACGACATTCGCAATGCAGCAGTGGGGCACTGGGGCAATGGGGAGACACAGGGGCTGGTCCGATGCCGGGAGCAGCAACTCACTTGTTGCGCATTCGCATCAGAAACTTGGCTGGCGAGAATCGTATTGTGCTCCCCCCACAGTTGCGCGGCTTCCATGAGTAGTACTGCACATCCCCGATACACGCACGATCGAACACGCGTGAGCATAGAAGGAATAAGCCGCGTTGAGTAGTAGAGGATATGTGAACTGGCAGTAAGTTAGACGCGCGGGGAGAGGCATGACGAGAGCAGTGCATTGGTCGTACCATCCAGTTCGGGTTGAGTTTCCTCTTCGGGTCGAGACAGTTGGTCGTGGGAGCCACGTCCTGCACAGCGCGGCATCACAAGTCAACGCCAGTCAATGCAGTCCAACAAGTCAGGACGGCGATGGAGAGCACGCAGCAGGCATCCTATGCGGAAACGGCTCATGTGATCTGACCCCGTGCGGATCACGGAGCGCTGCGGCAAATGCGGGCAGCAACGAACCGTGCGTCGCGCGGTACATTTGCAAAATGTGGACGCGCGCATTGAGCGCCGGGCAATGCGGCGCACCTTGAGGAAGGGGCACGAGGACATGTCGTAGGCGGGGCGGTTGGCGCGGTCCGACACCCACGAGCCGTCGTAGATGTCTCGCACGTCGACCGCCGCCTGCGTCGTCGCCACCTTGCCCTTCGCGCCGTTCGTCGACTTCAGCGGATTTTCCGCCGCTGGCGACGGCGGCGGCGGTGCCGCAGAGCCGCTTTCGGGGGACACGTCACTATTCTGATCGCCGCCACCGCTGCTGACACTGCTGCTACCGCCGCCGGTTGCACTACTGCTGCTAATGCTGCTGCTGCCTCTACTGGTGGTGGTGGCGGTGGTGGTGGAGGGCGAGTCGACGGAGAGCAGCGCGGGCATGTCGGCCAGCATGAGCTCCTGCTGGAACGTGTCGTCGCGATCCTTGAGCGCGCCGCTCACCGCCGTGTCGCCCGTATGGCTGTGGCTCCGCGGAGAGCGGATAGAGTAGCAGCGCGCACGCGAGTGCTATGCACTGCCATCTGAACGCGTGGGATCTCATTGGCGCAACAATGACTGGTCACGACGCGACGGAAAGCTTACCAACCTTGCGCCCTATTACTCAGACCGAGAGCTAGGAGGGTCTAATAGGAGCTAGCGAAGCTCTGGATAGTTGAAGGATGAAAGGACAGCTGTAAGGAGAACAGATGCGAGGTGCATCGGCTAGCATAGGCTGGGGGTGTTGAGTGGTTTTATCAAGCATGTTCTAGATCCGTCCGTATGGTTGAGTCGGTTGGGTTGAAAGTACAATTGATGCTCACCCATGCACGCGAATTTGCCTCGCGCCGGATGGATACGCTGCACCCGAGGTTGTTTCCCCAGCCTTATGCACCTACATTACAAGCGCGTCAAGCAGAAGAGACCGAAGTCAAGCAGAAGAGACTGAAGTCAAAATAGGTACTAGGTAACTAGGTAGCAGAGTCTTGTTTATAAGCACATGCGAATTCTTTTTAGCTAGCTGCGAATTGACGAAACTTATGCGAAATGCTCGTGACAGCTTATACGCCCCCTTCATAAGGCAACCGGGAGGGGCTCAAACAGGCATCAATTGTACTTCAATTTCACATGCCACTGACGGACAGCACATCCCTCCCGACTGTTTGGAGAAACGTACACCATCGGATCGCACCGCATGTGCGGCTCGGGGTTGGAAATTGGACTAGACCGTGTGCGACCAGGCATGAGGCACGCACAATCGCACAGGCGAGGCGTCAGGTATGAAAGCTGGGACCGCAACCCATCACAGGACCAATGAGCCTTCGCCAATGTATTGGCGGGCTCGCACAAATAAAATTTCGGGTCGGTGAGAAGGTGCTTTGACGTCGCGAATTGGTCTTCGCGAAAGCTTGCCCGGGCTGCGACGGCACAGACCTTCGAAAAAAACGTTGTGCGAGCGATGTCTCCCGCTCGCGGACAAACGCCACAATGGCAAGGGCACTGTGACCACGCGTACAGAGTGTACAAAATCTTGTACAGAGTGTACGTAATGCTTAATTGTATAATACACATGTCCACTATCAGCACAAGAAGATAGGTTTTTTGTGCACCTGTTCAGCCCGTGGGTCCCGATGGATGTTGCGGAGAGTTCTCCTACTCGCATACTGCTGACCTTCACCGGTCAGCCCTTCCTTCGAACCGCTAACGTGCAATCGTTCCTGCACCCGCCTCCCGCCTCTGCGGCTTTGCGCCTCTATTCTCAGCTCGTTCCGCTCGCCACCTCTGCGCCGAACATAATATGGCTTCTACCTTCCGTCCCCTCTGAATGGCCGCCCAACATAGGCGGAATGAGCGGCGCAGGCGGCGCGGGTTATGAGGGCGTGGTGGCGGCACCTCAAGTTCCCCCACCATGCTACACGTACACGCCGCTTCCGCGCATCGTGGAACTCCGCGCACCCCTCACCCCTTGCCTATGCCCTCTCATGCGCTTCCCCCATGAACCCCGCACATTTCCGCGGCTGGGAACGACCCCGCCACGTTGCGAGCAATCAGGAACTGCCGCGTGGCAGGCGATGACTGACGGCCATGGGGTTATGAGTGTCGGGGAGCAGAAGCGGCCGCTGAGGCGGAAGGCGCCACGACGAGGGCGGACAATGGGGGCATGGCGGAAGGCAAGGGGGGGGAGAACATAGATTGGCGGGGGGAAATAAGCGGCGGAGAGGGGGGAAGAGGAAAGCAGATATGAGTGGGAATCGGTGCCAAGTGGTGGGCAGGGGGGGCCGGACAGGGAGGGAGGGGGAGGAGAAACGGGATAGGAAGCGGTCACGGGTCTGGGGGCAGAGGGCGCGGCGGAAAGAAGCGCGCGGGGAAGAGTGCGAAGCGGTCCGGGGCGCAGAGGGGGGCGGGGCGGAAGGCGCCCCAGCCACTGGCGTTCCCAGTCACATGCCCGGTGTGTCCTGACGTGGTGCTGACGTCACTGAGTGTGCTGCAGTCGCACATGGCGGGCCGCAAGCACCAGGCCGCCGATGCTGGGCGCGCGCGGGGGGGGGGGCGCGAGGGGGGGGGGGTGCGCGGCCTGGGCAGGAGCAAGGAAGCCACGCGCATGAGGGGGAGGGGCATGGGGGAAAGAGGCATGAGGGGGAGGGGCATGGGGAGGAGGGGCATGGGGGGGGAATGGGGGGAAGGGGCATTGGGGGGAGGGGCATTGGGGGGAGGGGCTTGCAGAGAAGAGACATGCTGACAGGCATAGGGGTGAGGGGGGCAGTGGCACAGTGAATGGGGGAGATGGAGGGGGTTTGTGGGTGGCATGGGGGGAGTGCAAGGGGAAACGGGGTTGGAGCATGGGCAACATGGCGGGTATGGGGTGCGTGAGTCGCGATGGGCGATGGGGAGGGAGTGGGAGGAGGAGGAGGAGAAGAAGCTGTACGTGCGGGAGTGGGGCGATGGGGTTGTGAAGGAAGAGAGGATAGTTGAAATCATTGACCTGGAGGGGGAGGAAACTGAAAACGAGGAGGATGAGAAGAAAGAGGAGGAGGAGGTGGAGATATTGGAGTTGGACGAGAGCGAAGGGGACGAGGTGAAAGAGAGGGGAGGAGTGATGAAGTCCCAGGGCAGGGGAAGAGAGCGAGGGCCATGGGGTGGGCGAGTGTGGGGCCTCCGTTTGTGGGGGGGGTGGTGTGCGGTGTGTGGCGCGACGTGTTTGAACGAGAGCAACTACAAGTTCCACCTCAAAGGCAAACGCCACCGCTCCGCCCTCGCTGCCTCCCATGCTGCCGCTGCTGCTCCTGCTGTGCATGTACTATGATGCCTTGATGCTTGCTGCACCTGCAGCTGATGTGGCATGTTTGGAAGTTGAAGGGATTGCAGGGCTGCAACCAGGCCTCTGGATAGGATTTAGGGTACTCTTTCACGTAAGGCCAACACTTAGCTGTCACTCTTTCAGTAAGGGTGGTTCACAGAAACTGCTCTGGTAAAAAGCAGGGTGCAAACAAATCTAAACATAGGTCAAGTACTTGTTTGACCATACTATGTAGAGTGTTCGTGATCTCGTGTGATCGTAGTTATGTGGAGGACCCAAGTTCGATACCTGTCGGCGCGATCATCCTACGCTGAAATGGTGTTTTACGCGACCAATCTTAGAATCCTCTCTTAGATCGAACTCGATTTCATCAGTGCTACTACACCACATAGCTCTGAAATATCAGTGTCGTACAATCGATCACCTTTTTTTGTAAGGGTCTAAAACAAAACCAGTCTTGTAGAAAAGGGTGCATCGTCAAACCCGTCCTTATAGTAAGGGTCATAAGGGTGAATCACCCTGATATCGAGAGAGCCAGGCTGCAACCATCCAGATTGAGGTTGCTGCTGCCGCCAGTGTTGTTTGTGTTGCTGTGTTGGTTTTCTGCTTTTGTTCTTACAGTGTTTGTTGTTTGTTTGTTGTGCTGTGTTGTAGTCATGCCCTACTCGCCTCATTGCACCAGCGGCTCTACACCCAAACCAATCGCTGATGGAATGAGCACAAGACTTGCTAACGCATCTCTACCCTGGGTTGCAGGAAATTGAACCACGCAATACACATGAAATACAAAAAGCAAAGCAGGAAGAGGGTATAGGTTGGTTGGCAACCTGAATGATTGATACGGTAGACTAGATACCTTACATCAACCCAGGCGGCGGGCCCCATCAGATCAGACACAGCAGTGCACTCTAGGTTGACAGCTGAGCTGACCCACGCTGTGCCACCTGTTGGGTACTGGCCAGGCCAGGACACTGCCTTGCACGTGCTGCATAAGCTGAGCAGGCACGGGAAGGCATGTGCAGTGTGCACCAGCATGGGTGGCATGAGTCATGACTCATACATGACCTTGTTGCCACCATCCACAGTACCTGCCAGCACGCCATGCAGCAGCACAGCTGGGGAAGGGGGGAGCGTAAGCCTGTGTACAGAGGTGAGCAAGGCGGGGGTTGCTTGCAGGGCGGGAGTGAGGGGGCAAGCATGTATGCAGTGCTGGCAGTCAACCTTCAAGGCCAGGGGGGCAGGCGTGTGTGTTGTCACACCGCACGCACGGTACTGTGGCTGTTGTGCTGGGCTGGGTGGGAAGGAAGGTAGGGGGGAAGGAGCAGTAGCAGGGGGTACTGTGTGGTCGTTTGGCCAGGGCCCAGGGGGCTACAGCTGGTCCCCGTTTCCCCTCATTCATCCACTGCCGTCTTGGTACCGTACCATGATCGTTTGAGAGCCAGCCGGCTCACATCATTCTGCAAGGCTTTCTTGCAATAAGTCACATGGTCCCTTCTGTCTTGCGTACATGCCCTACATACAGCACCTGCCGTGCCAAAAAGAATCCTTCAAAAGTGGTTCGCCTGTTGATTATTTAGGAGAAGCAACAATGGAATGGTTGGCTCTGTTCCCTGGCTACTTAATAAAAATGGATAGACCTACTTCAGAGCTACATCAGAGCTACTGAAACTACAAACCTATGTACTCCAGGCAGCAGCAGGCATGCAATGCAAGAGCTGCGTGCTGCAGGCAGCAGCACGACGACCAGCATAATTTCTCCTCATCACCCCAGCACGGCTCGCTCCTTACATCTCTCACCTCCCCGCCCGCTCACTTCTCACCACCATCCCCCCACGCCCCCATCACTTCTGCTACCATCTTTTCCACCTCCGCCCTCTCCCCTCCCTCATTGCCTCCACCACTTCCCCCAGTGCTGCGTGCACTTCAGGGGTCGGGGGGACGCAGGCGAGGGGGGGAAGCCAAAGGCGGAGGAACAGGAGGCGCGGGGGGAGGCGGGGGGGGGGGGAGGGGGGAGGAGGCGCAGGGCGGGGAGCAGCACTGGGGGGATGAAGGCGGCCAGGGGCGGCGGGAAGAGGCTGGCGGATGCTGGGGAGGCGAAATAGGGGGGACCAGGGGGGGAGGGGTGTGGGGAAGGGAGGGCAGGGGAGTGCGAGGGCGAGGGCGAGGGGGGGATGGGGGGCGGGTGGCAGAGAGGAGCGCGGGGAGGTGCGCATCACAAGCAAGCCAGGCTGCCACGTGGTCTTGCAGGCCCATGCCCGCCATGGCGCCCACCATGCGCCCCACCTGCTGCACCGCCTCCTCATACTCCGCCTCCGCCCCTCCCCGCTCCCCACCTCCGCCCCCCCGCGCCACCCTCTTGCGGACTGCCCATGCTGGCGGGTGATGCGCGCCCCTGGGCGGCGAGGGCGTGCAGAGGGCGGTGGCGGCGGTCTTGACGTGGCTGACGAGGCTGTGGAAGCGAGCCACCACCAGCCGCCGCGTCATCTCCTCCCGCACTCCCTCCTCCTCCCCCCGCCTCCTCCCCTCTAGCTGCCTCCTCCCGCCGCTGCCTCTACTTCTTCCTTCTGCATCTCTGCTGCTCTGCGTCCCTCTTTGCGTTTGATTCTCTTGTTGCCTCTACTCTCCTTCCGCCGTGCTGCTTCCGCCTGTGCTGCTTCCGCCTGTGCTGCTTCCGCCTTGCTGCTTCCGCCTGTGCTGCTTCCGCCTGTGCTGCTTCCGCCTGTGCTGCTTCCGCTTCTGCTGCTTTCGCTTCAGCTGCTTCCGCTTCTGCTGCTTCCGCCTCGGCTGCTTCCGCTTCTGCTGCTTCCGACTCTCCTGCTTTGGTGTCTGTTTCTTCCGCCCCTGCGCCCTCCCCACGTCTGCTCGCACGTGCCTCCGGCTCAGCCCGTTCTGCTGCCTTTTCCATCTCCTTTCCCTCGCTGGCACCCCGCACATCCCGATATCCCGGCTCCGCTTCTTGCTTTTCCGCACCGCTCTTCGGTTCCGCCAACCCCCCACTACCAACGTCCGCAGCTCCCTCCGCTGACTTGTCTCCGCCAGGCGCAACTGTGTCCTCCGCCCCTCTCTCTTGTCTACCCCCTGATTCTCTGGCAGCCGGCCTTACAGCCCCCACACTCCGCTGCTCGTCTTCTATTCCCGCGCCCTCATTCCTCCGCACATCTTCCCCGCCGCTTCCTTCCCTCGCTCTCCTCCGCCCCTCTGCACGGCTTCTGCGGGCAGCAGCACATCGGGGGACATTGGCGCGACGGGCGCGCCTGCCTCGCGCGCCAGTTGCAGCAAGTAAGGCGTGCGGGAGGGGGTTCTCCGGGGAGTCGAGCCGCCCGCCTGCTCGCCCGACTTCCCGCCGGCAGCAGCGGCGGCACTGGCGGCGAACAGCGCGGATCCGCCAGACGAGCGAAGGTCGGTGGAGCGCGGATGGGCGGGTAGGCGCGATGGCAGGCAGGCGTGGTGCGCGGGGCACGCGTGCGCACAGAGGTGATTGCGCGGCGGGGAGGCGGGGAGCGCGAAGGGGAAGGGGATGGTGGTGAGGCCGGGCGTGGCGTCGACGACTACGAGCGTGAGCAGGCACGCGAAGAGCAGCAGCACGTACTGCGCCGCCAGGAACCACAGCGGCTCCACGCCTGCGAGAGGAAGGGATGCGGATGGGTAGGGGCGACGGGAATAGGAGTCAAAGGACGCACATTGAAGGCGCAGCAGATGCAGTGGATGGGGCAGGCGAGACAAGCAAGCGGGGTGCGAGCGGTACCTGGGAAGAGCGGCTGGCGGGGGGGGTACCTGGGAAGAGCGGCTGGCGGACGGACTCGGTGAAGAAGCCGAGCGACGTGAACGCGACGGCGGAGATGGCGGCGTGCCCCACCACGTGCGCGTCGCACATCAGCACAAAGTCCGCCGTCGCCGTTCGCAGCACCCTCGCGCCGCCGTACCTGGCGGGGCAAGAGGCCGTTGGGACATGGGGGAAGGGAATGTGGGGAGAAGGCAGCATGCGGCAAGGCTGATGAGAGCCACGCGGTGGGCGCACGGAGGGAATGGGCGGCACTGCTTCGCGTGAGACGCGGGAGACGCAATTTTAGCAACCACGAGTTTCCGCGTGCCTTGCGCGGCTGCGCGGGGGATTCGTGCACGAAAAGTGCTCCGTGGAGCTGCCTCGGCCAACCCGAAGGCACATGGGAAGCAAGGCAGTGAGGAAGCAAGCGCGCACGACTGACCGCGGCGAGTTGGGCGGGAGGCGCTTGAGGAAGGCGAGGAGCGTGGAGGCGAGCAGACACCAGATGAGCGCCACCGTGATCGCCGTCTTGCGACTCGCCGCGTCCCCCGCGCACGACGCCAACACCTGCGCGCACCACACGGGCAGACGCACGAGGCGACATCGAGGGATGGCGGGAGAGGGGTGGCGGCAGGAGAAAGTGATGAGAAGGACGGGGTAGCGGAGGAGGAAGTAAGCGACGGGAAATAAAAGGAAGAAAGGAGACAGCGAGAGGTGGGAAGAAGGGGAGCAGGGGGGCGCGGAGCGGGACGCACGAGGGCGAAGTTGAGGACGAGCAGCGAGCCGAAGGGGAAGTACTTGGAGAGGCGCGCCGGGAAGAAACACTGCGTGCCGTCCGTCACACCCCGCCGCCTCGCTGCGCCCCGCCCCCGCTGTCGTTGCGCATGCGCCGGGCCTGCCATATGGAGGAGAGGATGAGAGGAATGACGAGGCGGGGATCATGGAGGGGGTTGAGTCAGCCCAGGCGATTATCCGCGGATTGTGAGACGCGTGAGAGCGGAGCACGAGTGGCCATCTACCTGCCCATTGGAGGCCGCTCTTCCGATTCTCGCGCGGGTTCGTTTTGTCCTCCACTTGTATCCACGCCTCGCCCGCTGCTACGCCTGATGGCTCTAAGTCCGCCGCAGACATGATCGCCCGCGCTCCCTGCTAGTCGCACTGCTAGTCGCACTGCTAGTCGCACTGCTAATCGCACTCTGTTCACCGCTAGTAACGTTCCTGTCTCTACCACTTTGTCTTCGGGTTCGCGTTACGAAATGCTCCTCACACCTGGCTGCCTTGCTCAGCCGCGTTACGCATCTCCCACTGCTTTTGCAATCCAACCAGCTCCCTTCGCCCCACCTATTCTGCCCCCCTCAGAGCCTTTTCTGGGTCATCGTCAAGCAAATTCGATTGGGGAAGACGCGGCTCGGCTCCGTGCATTCAGAATTGACGAACGTGAGTGATGTGAGTTCGCCAAGGATGCCCGACTCGGACAAGGCAGGGACGTGCGAGAAGAGTTTCGTCCGTAAGTAGTGTAGTGGCGCGTGATACACTGGGCTGGATTACGGTATGCGTATAATAATAATTCAATATAGGTGACACTGGCGAACCTTCTCAAAAAGCCTCGTTATTGCGCTAATCGGACCCAAACAGAAACAGTGGTTGCTCGTCATGAGCACTTTTGACTTGTCTGCGCGATTCGATACGTTTCGCTCAACTAGCTGCGACAAACCAAATCTTTGCCACCCCAGCACCATCGCTCGGGCCCGGGGAGATCAGGCAGGCGACTGCAGTCGCAGCAACAATGTCGCTTGCGCCGTTTCCGACTTCACCCGCGCGCTGCAAATTGGGTTGTGAGGGGTTCTCCGCAATTGCAACTCTTCCCCCCACTCCAGACACAAGGGGGAGCAAAAAAACAGGTCGGTGTTGCCCTTTCGTACAGTCACATAACCGCTTTTTTTCGTGAAAGTTGTTAGCGTCGCATGGAGTCGCACACTCGGTTACCAAGTACTGACATTAGTCACTGGAGCACACTTACCGATGCTATGCGAGCACCGTGTGCGTTAAACGAGGCCCACGCACGCAACGATGCGTGCCGGTAGTTGTGCGCCCGTGCTATCGCCCCTCGTTCCTCGTCTCCCACGTGTCGCCACGCCGCCATCGCCTTGCGCTCTGTCCGCACCCGCGCCTTCCTCTTCGCCCGTCCTGTGCCGGCCTTCGCGCCGCACCTCCCGCTCGTCACTATGGGCTGCGCTAGTTCCGCGCCCACCGCCAACGCGGCAGCGGGGGAGGTTGGAAATGGCGGCGAGGGCCAGGCGGAGGAGTGGACGCTGTGCGGATGCGGGGGAAATCGGCGCGCTAAGGAGGGGAAGGTGCGGACGAAGGCGGGCGGGGAGAAGTGGCGGAGGACCAGGGAAAACGAGGCGCAGAAAGGGGAGGCATTGGGGAACGGGCGCGCGGTTAGGAACGAGCGCAATGCGGAAATGATGCGCGGTGGGGCCCGAGGCGAGGAGAGGGACGAGGGGAGGGAAGCGCACGACGGGAGAGAAGCGCACGAAGGGAGAGTGGGCAGCAAGGTGCGCGCAGAGGGCGAGCAGAATGGCGCGGAGCTCTGCGATGGCGCGGGGATGGACGGCGGCGCAGGGGGCGGCAGGGTCAAGGTGCGCAGCACTGAGGGGGCTGCGAGCGGGGGAAGGTTGCAGGCAGGACGCGCTCTGGCCTGGCAATGAGGGGGACGCAGCGGGGTGGGAGAGAGGGATGCGCGCGGTAGATGGGCGGAGCTCAGGGGAATTTAGGGATGCCGGGGATGAGTTGGGGCGCAATGGATGATGGGGGGTTGTAAGGATTGGGAGGCGGAATGGTGGATGTGAAGGAGGGGAGTGGGGCGGAGGGCGCATGTGGGCGTGCATGTGCACGAGTCCCTTGACATGCGTATCTGCGTGTGTGTGCGTGTGTGTGTGTGTGTGTGTGTGTGTGTGTGTGTGTTTGTGTGTGTGTGTGTGTGTGTGTGTGTGTGTGTGTTTGCGTCCCGGTGTGCTTTTATCCGTGATTGCAGCAAGCAGAGCAATCAGAGCAAGCAGCAGCAGCAGGCCGCCAGCCCGGGGAGGCAGCGACAGCAGCACAGGGCACCTCGCCACCCACACGGTGCGCCCTCACATGCCACCTCCCCTTCCTCTCCCTGCCTCCCCTCTGCCTGCTACCTTTCACATGCCGCACCATCGCCACAACACGCCACTCTCCAGTATTCACAGCCCCCACGGCCCATCCCCCCACGGCCCATCCCACCACGGCCCATCCCCCCACGGCCTATCCCCCCACGGCCCATCCCCCCACGGCCCATCCCCATGGTTCATCCCCCACCCACCGCCCACCATTGCAGGAGCGTGCTGCCCCCACAGCCCACCCAGCTCGCCCAATCCGCGGCCAGCGTGCAATCCCCCACCAGGTGCCATATTCCCTTGGCAGCACGTGCCGTTGCACTTTGCTGCTCCGCTTCCTGCCCGTGCCATCTCCTCAATGCCCCCCACGTCATGCTCACCGTTGCTGGAGCCCGTGTGTGTGTGCATGGTATGGCATGTGTGCATGGAATGGCATGTGCGTGGCACAGTAGGGTGGGCGTGCTGGCATTCGAGGTGGCAGCGGCGGTGGTGAGGGCGGGGGTGGTACGGCAGTCAGTGGAGGGCGAGGACGTGGACGAGCTGCGCAGGGAGGTGCTGGCGTCTGATGGCATTGCCTTTCTGCTCTCCTCCGACTTCAACCACGTCTGGCACATCGCCACCCAAGATAAGTGGTCCGTCCGCCACATCCCTGCTCGCGCTGTCTGCTCTTTGCCTCCTTCCTTGCTGCTTGCATCAACCTCTCGTGCCCAAATCTACAGCTCATTTGAAATTGTTTCTTTATGTGCGCCCCTACCCTTTTCCCTTTCCCTCCCCCCCTCCTACCTTGTCACCCACCCCCCTCCCCCTGTGGCTACGGCGTGCAGGGAGGAGGTGGGGCGCCTGGCAGCGAGTGTGGCGCGCCTGGGCTCGCAGTGCGCCGACACCGCTCTGCACTCCCTCGCCCTCCGCTTCTCCAGGTCCGCTTGCCACCCAGGTTGCACGCAGCACTGTAGCAGGTGCAGGGGGGGGCGGGGGGCAGGAAATGCGCAAAGGGTAGTGGTGGTGGCAGGTGGCAGAGCGGCCACGGTACAGCAGCGAGCACATGATCACGCCTGTTACCCCCACTCACAGTCACTCCCGTGCCCCTGTGCTGTGCCTACCCGCCTTGCTCTCCAACTCGAGGCCCAATGCCTGCATTCCATAGATGCTTCTTACACCGCCTTCCACCCCCCCTGCCCATCCGTTGCCCCGCGCCTTGTCCCCCTCTCGCATCCCAGCCTGGCTGCAGCAGTGAGGGAGCGGCAGGGGGGTGGGGGGAGGAGCAGGGGGGAGCGGAGGAGGGGGAGGAGGGGGAGGCGGTGGACGAGCTGCTGCTGCAGATGGAGGAGGACTCTCAGATCACCATGGTGAGATGCTGACGTCAGTGGGGTGAGATTCTGGCGTCAGTGAGGTGAGGTGCTGACGTGGGCATGGTCGGTGTGTAGTTGTGGATGTTGGCATGGCAGGATGGTTTCACTGCCATGCGTTGATGACATGCCACCGCCCATTCCCATGGGCCATGGCACGGCCCACCTCATACATACATGCTTGCCGACCTCCCATGCCCATGCCCCCCCTCTTCCCTGCGTTGTCGCCGCCATGCATGCTTGCAGGAGCTGAGGCGCGAGGTGCTGCTGCTGGAGGCCATGCGCCGTGACATGGATAGCACATGCGACTCTGGTGATCATGGGGGTCATGGGGGTGGTGATGATGGTGCTCTAGGTTATAGTGCATGTGTTGAGACTGCGTTTGAAGAGACTTGCACGTGGGAAGGCATGGCAGAAAAGAGGCATGGTGTGTGTTGCGGCTCTCACACATGTGGTCGGTGTGGTGGTGTGTGCAGGGGAGAGGGTGGCGGAGCTGAGAGCACAGAAGGAGCGAGTGCGCGCCATGCAGGAGAGCTCCTTCTGGGACCGCCCCCTCGATGAGGTGATGTCATGGCATGGGATGGTACATGTCATGTTGTGTGATATGTGATGTGATGTGTTATGATGTAAGGGCCGTGCATGAGTGTATGAAACTGATAGTGCTCCTGTCCGCATCACTGCACCACCACGACCCTCTCAGTTGCCTGCCTGCCACCCCCCTCCCCCCCTTCCACACCACGTGCAGTTGGTGCGCCAGCTGGCGCGTGTCGTGGACCATCTCATTCGCCTCGTCTCCTCCACCTTCGGCCCGCTGCGTGAGTCCATCGCTGCGTGAGTGCATTGCTGCGTGAGTGCACCGCATGCCCTCCCCCCTCCCTCACTGCATCCATCACCATGCTCTTCCTTGATCCAATCTCCCGCCTTTCATCCCATCCGCCCACTCCCCCACCCAATTCTCCCTCAACACTCTCCCTCACATCCCCCTCCTCTCATCCCCACATGCCCCCAATGCCCCGCCAGCACTGGACGTCCCTCTGCTGCCCGTGCGGGGGAAGGGTGCACAGGTGGAGGGGGGAGGGAGGGGCAGGCGGAGGGGGGGAGGAAGCTGGGGGAGTCGGGCATGGCGCTGGCGTATGCGCGGCTCATCATCGCCATCGACCTGCTGGTGAGCCACCCGCCTCTGCTGCTGCTCACATGCCTCTGTTTGCTGCTGAGATGGCAGTAGTGGTAGTGGTGTAAGCAGTGCTAGAGAGAAACGTAACTGTGGCGAGGCATCTGTCAGTCTCACACTGCACTCGCCCTGCCTCCCACTTGTCTTATGGGTCCTCGCTCCTCCCCTCGCTCCTCCCCTCTGCACCTCCGCTCCTATCCTCTTGTCCCTTTCCCCCGTTCTCTCAACCACCAACCCACTGCCCCCCACCCTTGTCTGGCGGGGAGCAGGTGGGAATGCAGGGGGCGGAGAGCCGGAGGGACTACCTGTACTCGCTGCTGCCGCACTCGCTGCGCTGCAAGCTCAAGGGGGCGCTGCTGCAGTCGCAGCACATCTGCATGGTGGGTGGCCAGTCGAGAAATTTTCATGTCTGGTTTTGTCTCTTCTTTTTCTCGTGCAGGGTGTGTGCTATGCCATGCCATGCCATGCATTTCTGGTATGCCATGCCAACCCTCCACCTGAAATCCGAATGCAGGTCATGCTGCACTCTAAGAGGGCATCCCGTGGGCGTTGAGTCGTCTCAATGTATTCATGCCATGGCTCACGTATGCATCTGGGCTGTGTTATTGTGGCATGATGTGGTGGGCTGGCACGACATGATGGCATGTGGGTGGCATGGATGGCATGTGATTGTGGTGTGCACGGCATGGGTGGCATGGATGGCAGGAGAGCACGGAGAGCATAGAGGAGAAGCTGGAGGGCGTGTTGGACTGGCTGGTCACCATGGCAGACAACACCATCAGGTGAATTCAACACCATCAGGTGATTCCAACACCATCAGGTGAATTCAACACCAACAGGTGATTCCAACACCATCAGGTGATTCCAACACAACCAGGTGATTCCAATATCATCAGGTGATTCCAACACCATCAGGTGCTTGCAGCACCATCCAGTGTTCCACCAACACTCAAACGTTGTAATCCCTCCCATCCCATTCTCTTCCCAACCTGCCCCTCTCTGCCCCCTTCCCCCTGGGCACAGGTACGCGAGTGACGTGCGGGTGCGGGGAGGCAGCGCATTGAGTCGCCTGCAGACCCTGCATCACGTGGAGGAGGCGCGCATGGAGCGCCTCGTGCTGCTGCTGCTCATCGGCCTGCAGCACCTCGCCAGCCGCCAACAGCTCCCCGCCCCCTCCGCCCCCGCACCCACACCTGCACCTGTCCCCGGCACCGCCCCACCGCACGGGGTGGGCGATGGGGGGAACGGCAGCAGTGGGGGCGGCCCCAGTGGCAAGTACGCCATGACCGGCGCTGGGGCCGGCACGTGGGGCGCTGGCAGGGGCGCGGGCAGGCCGGGTGGTGGCGCAGCTGAGAGGAGGGGCGGGGGTGTGGAGGAAGAGGGGAGAGAGACGAGAGAAGGGGAGGGACAGGAGAGTTTGGGGGGTAGCGGCAGTGGCAAGGGGAAGAGCAGGGAGGCAGCAGGCAGTGGAGGAGCTGCTTTACCCGCTGCTGCTGGTGGGGGTGGTGGGGGTGGCGGTGGCAGGGAGAGGGGGTGGGCGAGTCACACGCGGGTGTGGCATCCCATCCCATGCACCGCCATCACAGCCCCCTGCCCGCCCCCTGCCGCCCACGTGGCAGCTGACTTGGCCAGTGACGTGGCAGGTATGGAGGGGCACTTGCCAAGCGTGCCTGCAGCAGGGCCAGCCGGGGAGGAGCAAGCTGTGGGGTCGGTTGCAGGACATGCAGTGTTGGGCCCGTGGGGGCAAGAGGCAGCGGAAGAAGCTGCCGGCACAGCAGAGGCAAGGAGTGGCACGGAGGCAGCAGAGGCGGGTGCAGCAGAGGGTTCATGCGAAGAGACCGGCGAGGGCAGGGCGCCGAGCAGCGAGGGGCGCGTGGGCAGCCCTGGTGGCGTGCAGGACGTGCCTGCCATCGACCTGCACGCTGCTGCGCTGTCCTCCCACCCGCAGTGGTCGCCCGGGTCGGGCAGCGACCCCCCTTCCCCCGCGCCGTTGGTGTGGTCGGGGCCACTGAGCGAGCGCAGCAGCGTGGGGCGCGCATCCCAGGCCAGCAGCCCGGGTGGCGTGGCGTGGAGCGGTGGTGTGCGGCGCACGGGCAGTGCGGAGGGCAGCCGGGAGGGCGAGGGCGTGGAGGAGTGGAGCGACATCCTGGCCCACCTGTCGTCCACTGCTCGCAGTGCCGTGGGGGGGCTGGGAGGGGCGGGAGCAGGGGAGGGTGATGGGGGGATTGCTGTGGAGAGTGCAGCGATGGTGGGGGGTGAGGGTGTGGAGAATTTGAGTGTGGGGAGCGTGAGTGTGGGGAGCGTGAGTGTGGGGAGCGTGAGCAGTGGGCGGCGGGAATGGAGGGTGCCACAGAGTGTGCCTGAGGAGGAGGAGGAAGGCGAAGAGGGGGAGACCAAGGCCAGTGAGGATCAAGGGGAGCGAGGGGAACAAGTGGGAAGTGCAACTCACAGTGGCACAGGGGAAGCAGCAGCAGCGGCAGAGCCAGCAGTGTTACCACGATTGGTGGAATCGGGCATGTGCCCGCCTGCCCCACCACCATCTCATCTGCCCACCCATCCTTTCACTCCTGGGTCACCTGCACGCACTCTCATGCCGCCCTCGCCCTCCGCTGCCGTGCCACCGCGCACTGTGCTGCTAGCGGGTGCAGCAGGCAGTGTGGATGACGTCACGCCTGCCACTGCTGTAGGCACCGCCGTTCCCAGCAGCGTGGCAGCAGAAGGGGGCGCGGTGGCGAGGGTGCGGGCGAGGGCCCCGCGGGCGGGGTGGAAGAGCAAGAGCCAGCCGCTGGAGCGACTGGCGGCGCGCATGAAGCAGCGGCAGCAGCGCGCAGCGGGGCAGCTGCAGGAGAGCACAGGCGTGGCGGGCAGAGGGGGCAGCCCTCAGGTGCAGCTGCAGGGCGATGGGGCAGGCAGGGGGCTGGCAGGGCGGCAGTCTGTCTCGCGCACTCTGAGTCGCCTGCAGCAGCACCATGCCAACAGCCTCACCGCCTCCGCGGCTGGCGGCGCTGCCCTGGGTGCTGCAGACTCCCCCCTCCACGCGCGCGTGCTGCGCCGCGCACTCACGCCCAACCCCAACGCTGCTGCTGGTGGCAGCCACAGCGGAGGGCTGGAGAGGCGTGTGGGGAGGGGGCTGGGCGGCGCGTGGGAGGGGGACATGGGGGTGGGGGTGGAGGGGGAGGAGGAGGAGGAGGCGGACATCGATCGCATCCTGGACGCGCGGCCTGACATGGACATCAGCGCCCTCAGCCCCATGCTCATGCGCTCCCCCTCCTTCGGCCGCCAGCAGTACTGGATGGTGTGAGGTGCAGTGCGGTGCGGAGTGGCATGGCTGTGTTTTCGCCCACTCATTTATTAGTAGCTCCCATTGGTGTTGTCCAAGCTAGTTGCATATCTAGGAACAGGTTGCGCAGCGAACCATGAACACGTAGGGAGTGCCATGTCACTTCTTGCATGCCACCACCCCAGTTGATTTGACATCAAGTGTACCATAATCTCACCAGAGTAGTACGAACCACTGCATTGAATGTAGTTGGTGCTGATTACCGTATGTAAAGCATGCTCTACCCATGCTTCCATGTTTCTTTCTGGCTGCATGCAAGATTCAGTGCACGGCTTATACGGTACCTACATAAACTGCCATGTTGGATGAAAGTATGCATAATTACAACAGTAGCGCAGGCAACTCTCGCAACTCAGCAATACTATCTTGCAATGACGGTACGGTATGTACCCCCCCTTAAAGCCCGAGTCCCAAATTGCGGGCCGCGCGGGTCAAGCTTTTAAAACTTGACGAACTAGTGTTTTCAAGGTTTGACAAAAGCGTGCCTGCAATTTGGGACTTTTGGGAACTGAACCAACCCCCAGGGCGAAATACGAGGGCGGGTTGGGGTTGGCGAAAAAAACGAAAAACGCGAAATTGGAATCTTTCGCCAAAACCCTCACCACAAAAACCCCCTCGCGTCAACCTTTTAAAACTTGTGCAATTTGGGCTGCCGGCTTTAACGTCCTAACTCCTCAGAGCTCTAAACATCTCTTGGGGGGGTATGGGTCACATTAACTTTCTACGGTAATCAAGAGACGACTCAAGAAATGACTCAAAACTTCTGCCTGTGCTCAGCTCAGCGCCATGCCAACATGCTGCCGTGGCTAATTGGGACCAGAAAAATGCCGTGCTGGCCTCCACAGCCTCGTGACATGGCAGGGCGCAGGCGGAGCGAGAGGCTGGCACATAAGGCAGTCATTGCACTGCTGCTTGCCTCCACAACCCTTGGACCCGTGCATTCCTCCAAGCACCGCATGACTCGCCACTGCAGCACACTCGCTCTTGCTCTACCAAAGACCCCAGGCTCGCTTCTTCTTCTCCTTGCCTCCCTCCCCGTCCTCTTTCTTGTCCCCTCCACTGGTCTCCCCCGCTGCCCCACCATCCGCATCCTCCTTGCCATGCTGCTCTCCCTGCGCCCCCCCATCCTCCTTCTCCCACTCCTCCAGCAGCTTCCTCTGTCGTGCCGTCAGCTCCCTGCACAGTCAAGGTGGGATGGGTGGCAGAGGCACGGGCAGTGTGAGAAACTTGGTGGGTGGGCAGTGCAAGAGGATTGATGGGTGGGAGAGGGTCCACAGCAAGAAGAAAAGCAGAGCTAACAGCAAATCATACACTAAGAGGATGTGTGTGCTATGAGGGAGGTGAATGGAGGGAAAATGCAGGAAGTGAAAGGAGAGGCGACATGGAGGCGAGAGGAGAGGCAGTGAAGGAGGAAAGGGAGGGGCAATGATGGAGGAGCGGAGGGGCGAGTGGGCAGCAGACGCACGTGGGCACGGCAACATTGACGTGCACAAACTGACTCCCCACTCGGCGACTCGTGGCCGATCGCACTCCTGCGCGTGGGCAGAGGGAAAGATAGGGGAAGGGAGAGTGGAGAAGTGATGGGAAAGAGAAATGGGTAAGAGAGATGTAGGAGGGGAAATGGGTACGAAGGTGGGAGTGAAACGGTCATGGGTGCAGAGCAAACAGGAACCCGTATGGTTGAAGGTAGCAGATCAACGGTGGAGCAGATGGGCAGAGAGGGGGATTGCAAGGGCAAGGGTGGGTGCACTGCAAGGTGGCGTACCTTTATCGCGCAGCTGGAGCACCTGGCCTGGCTGTGTGCCTGGCTTGATCTGCACGCCCACAGCATTGACAGCACGGCACGTGCATGGCGGCAAGGGACGGCATGCACATTGCAGCATGAGCACGGCATGTGCATGGCAAGTGGCTAAGAAACTGCGAGTGTGGGAAGCACATGCCTCTAGGTAATGGCAACAACGTCAAGTCAATGCATCGACCCCCTGGCCTGTAACTGCATCAACATGGCATGGCATGGATGGCATGGCATGGTATGGTATTGGCATGGCATGGCAGGGCATGGCATGGCATGGTATGGCATGGCATGAGCAGCAGCACCTTAAGGATGACCTCCCCTGAGAGTGTTGGCACCGGCACTGATGCTCCCAGACACGCCTGGCACGCACACACGCCATGGCAGGGGCGATGGCAGGGGCGCGAGGGGGCCCGTGGGAGGGGCGTGGGAGAGTTGTGGCTTGGAGGAGCAAGCAGGAGAGGAGGGGGGGTACGATGTTCAGGCAGGGAAGACAAGGGCAGGATAGGTAGGGCTGGGAGGATAAGTATGGGTATGCGATACGGTGCGCACATGATAGGAGAGGGAGCATGAGGAGGAGGGGGGGGGGTGGCACCTGGGGGAAGGAGACGTGCAGGTCGACGTGGATGTCGTTGCCGTCCCTCTTGAACACCGCGTCCTCCTCCACCTGGCACATGGCGCATGGCACACGGGGCATGGGGCAAGGGGCAAGGGGCATGCGGCACCGGGCAGGGACATGAGGTAAAGGGCAGGGGGACGGGGCAGGGGGACGGGGCATGGTGCAGGGGGGAGTGAGTGGCTGAGAGAGATGAGAAAACCAGCTGCCAGCACCTGCACAGGACGAAGCTGAATGTTCAGCAGCAGGTCACCTGAATGTTCAGCAGCAGGTCACCTGAATGTTCAGCAGCAGGTCACCTGAATGTTCACCAGCAGGTCACCTGAATGTTCAGCAGCAGGTCCCCAGGTGGCGCCCCTTTCCCCCCTGCGCCTCCCTGCCCCGGCACCCTCAAGGTCACTCCCGAGTCCACCCCTGCTCGCCACCCCACACCCGTGTTGGCACAGGAGAGAGAAGGGAGGAAAGGGAGGAGAGGGGCGGTGGGATGAGGAGCGAAAGAAGTTGATGGGAAAAGAAGGGTTCGTAGAGACGGCGGATGGGATGGAGCCGCAAGAGGATGTGAACGGTGCACGGCTGGGAGGCAGGGTGGGAAGAGGGAAGAGGATGGGCAGGTTGAGCTGGTTGTAGTGCTCCCAGGGAATGGCTCATCCTCCCTGCTGCTGCCATGCCATGTGCTCCCACCGACCATCCACTCCCACCCACCCACCTGCTGGTATGGAGACATCCACTTCCCGCCTCTCCTTCACTGTGCCCTCCCCATGACATGTCTTGCACCACTCCTGTTGTGTGCATGCATGCATGCATACATGATGCCAGGATGCCATAGTGCCATGACGTCATGATGCCATGATGCCGTGATATTATGTGGAACAAGAGGGTACACATGTGAGGGCAGATTAAGGGAAAGGACAAGAGCCACGCGACAAGGGGTGTCAGAAGAATTAAGGAGAAATCGAAAGTGAGCAAAGGGAGTGGTACCAAGAAGGGGAACGCAGGCAGCGGTGCGCGCACCTTGACGAAGACGCCCTGGCCGCCACAGGAGGAGCACGTCTGCATCACCACTGACGCCCCCATCCGCCGCATCTCCTGCTCCCACCACGTGGGGGGGGAATTGGGGTGGACACAGGAGAAGTGTGGTTGGGGGAGGGAAGGGCACAGGTGTGTGAGGACGGAGAGGAGATGCGAGGAGAAGGGAAGAACGGAGAGGGGAGGGGGGAGAGGGTGGGGTACTGACCATGCCTTGGCCCTTGCACGCCTTGCACGGGGTGGGCTGGTACCCCTTGGGCATGCCTGATCCACCTGCATTCAGGGGGAGAGCCAAGTGGGCAGCAACACACAGAGGCAGGGGGGCAGTGGCGCATTGAAACGAGTCAAAGGTGGATTCACGTGGACAACAAGTGGCTTCTCATGCTCACATTAACGAAGATATTGGGCAGACTGATAACAGAGAGTGCTGATTCGCATGAGCACAGGCAAGAGCAGCAGAGAGCACTCACTGCAGGAGGAGCAGCAGAGAGCACTCACTGCAGGAGGAGCAGCAGAGAGCACTCACTGCAGGAGGAGCAGCAGAGAGCACTCACTGCAGGAGGAGCAGCAGAGAGCACTCACTGCAGGAGGAGCAGCAGAGAGCAGGCACTCACTGCAGGAGGAGCAGCAGAGAGCACTCACTGCAGGAGGAGCAGCAGAGAGCACTCACTGCAGGAGGAGCAGCAGAGAGCAGGCACTCACTGCAGGAGGAGCAGCGCACGGGAGCAGAGAAGGAGAGGTGGCGCGAGCAGCCGTCCACTGCCTCCCTCAGCGTCAGCCTCACCGCCATCTGCACACTCTCGCCGCCCCTCGGCCCCGCCGCCCCCATGCCCATGCCCATGCCCATGCCCACGCCCATGCCGCCCATGCCGCCCATGCGCCCAAAGATGCCGCCCAGCATCTGGGGAAGCGGGGGCAAGGGTGGGAGGGGAGCGGGGCAGGTGAACGGAAGTAGGGGAGGAGGGGGCACGGGGGGCACGGGGGGGGGGGCACGGGGGGCACGGGGGGCACGGGGGCACGGGGGGCACGGGGGGCACGGGGGGCACGGGGGGCACGGGGGGCACGGGGGGCACGGGGGGCACGGGGGGCACGGGGGGCACGGGGGGCACGGGGGGCACGGGGGGCACGGGGGGCACGGGGGGCACGGGGGGCACGGGGGGCACGGGGGGCACGGGGGGCACGGGGGGCACGGGGGCACGGGGGGCACGGGGGGCACGGGGGGCAGGGGGGCACGGGGGGCAGGGGGGCACGGGGGGCACGGGGGGCACGGGGGGCACGGGGGGCACGGGGGGCACGGGGGGCACGGGGGGCACGGGGGGCACGGGGGGCACGGGGGGCACGGGGGGCACGGGGGGCACGGGGGGCACGGGGGGCACGGGGGCACGGGGGGCACGGGGGGCACGGGGGGCACGGGGGGCACGGGGGGCACGGGGGGCACGGGGGGCACGGGGGCACGGGGGCACGGGGGGCACGGGGGGCACGGGGGGCACGGGGGGCACGGGGGGCACGGGGGGCACGGGGGGCACGGGGGGCACGGGGGGCACGGGGGGCACGGGGGGCACGGGGGGCACGGGGGGCACGGGGGGCACGGGGGGGCACGGGGGGCACGGGGGGCACGGGGGGCACGGGGGGCACGGGGGGCACGGGGGGCACGGGGGGCACGGGGGGCACGGGGGGCACGGGGGGCACGGGGGGGCACGGGGGGCACGGGGGGCACGCAAGTGTGGTGTGGTGCAAGCATGGGGGGGGAGAAGCAGGTGGTGGTGACGGGATGGACTGCCACTGGCAGCCCCTACCCGCCCCTTGTGGTGTGCAGCCAAGTGCAGTGCGGTTCGGTGCAGTGCAGTGCACACACCTCTTCGAAGTCCGACGGCCCTCCGAAGCCAGAGAATCCGCCGAAGCCCTGAGCGCCCGCCCCTGCGCCCGGGCCCCCCGCTGCCCCCCCTCAAACGCCTCCGGACCAACCTGGGGCGGCAAGGGAGGATGAGCAGGGAGAGAGGAAACAGGGCGGAAGAGGAGGAACCAGGAGAAAGCAGGAGCGGAAGGCTGAGGGGCACGAAGAGCGAGGCAAGCTGTAAGAGGCGGCACACAAAGAAATGTGAAAGCAGCACACGGAAGTGAGTGGGGAAGAAAGGAGAATAAAGGCGACCAATCAAGTGCACGGATGCGTCATGCGGGCATGTGATGGTGAGTGGAACATGGCATACCTGATCGTACATGGCCCTCTTTTCATCATCCTTTAGCACCTGCGAGGAGACACACACACTCACACACGCCGTACGCACACATGAACACATGTCATGGCACGCAAACAAGCAAGCAAGTGGCATTTCACATTTCACAATGGCAGAGACAGACGAGAGCAGCAGGTAGAGCGGAGAAGGAAGCGCACATGCGATGAGTTTAGCCCATCCCAGCCCTGCCCTGCCACCTCCCTCCCACTGCCTGCTGCCACCACCCCCCCTCTCACCTCGTACGCCTGCTGAACCTCTCACCTCGTACGCCTGCTGAACCTCTCACCTCGTACGCCTGCTGAACCTCTCACCTCGTACGCCTGCTGAACCTCTCACCTCGTACGCCTTCTGAACCTCTCACCTCGTACGCCTGCTGAACCTCTCACCTCGTACGCCTGCTGAACCTCTCACCTCGTACGCCTGCTGAACCTCTCACCTCGTACGCCTGCTGAACCTCTCACCTCGTACGCCTGCTGCACCTCTCACCTCGTACGCCTGCTGCACCTCTCACCTCGTACGCCTGCTGAACCTCTCACCTCGTACGCCTGCTGCACCTCTCACCTCGTACGCGTTCTGAACCTCTCACCTCGTACGCCTGCTGCACCTCTCACCTCGTACGCCTGCTGCACCTCTCACCTCGTACGCCTGCTGCACCTCTCACCTCGTACGCCTGCTGCACCTCTCACCTCGTACGCCTGCTGCACCTCTCTCTCACCTCGTACGCCTGCTGCACCTCTCACCTCGTCCTGCTGCACCTCTCACCTCGTACGCCTGCTGCACCTCTCACCTCGTACGCCTGCTGCACCTCTCTCTCACCTCGTACGCCTGCTGCACCTCACCTCTCACCTCGTACGCCTGCTGCACCTCTCACCTCGTACGCCTGCTGCACCTCTCACCTCGTACGCCTGCTGCACCTCTCACCTCGTACGCCTGCTGCACCTCTCACCTCGTACGCCTGCTGCACCTCTCACCTCGTACGCCTGCTGCACCTCTCACCTCGTACGCCTGCTGCACCTCTCACCTCGTACGCCTGCTGCACCTCTCACCTCGTACGCCTGCGGCACCTCTCACCTCGTACGCCTGCTGCACCTCACCTCTCACCTCGTACGCCTGCTGCACCTCTCACCTCGTACGCCTGCTGCACCTCTCACCTCGTACGCCTGCTGCACCTCTCACCTCGTACGCCTGCTGCACTTCTTGGAACTTCTTGGCTGCATTGGGGTCGTCCTTGTTCGCATCCGGGTGGTACTTCTTCGCCAGCTGCCACCCCACCATGCCCCACCCACACCCCACCACACCCCACCACACACCACGGCGCACCACAGCGGAGGAGGAGCAGGGGGGAGCAGGCCAGGCAGGGAGGGCCAGGGGGGGGAGCAGGGGGGGCGGGGAGCAAATACGAGGGCATCATGTCAAAGACGCGCCCAGTAAACCGCGAACAGGGGTGCAATGAGTCGCAGCAAGCAGTGACAGTTGCGAGCACATAGTGGCGATGGCATGGTGGCATGACGGCACGGACCGCATAGAAGGCCTTTTTGATTTCAGCGGCCGTTGCCTTCCTTGACACCCCCAACACCGCATAGTAGTCCTGCCCCCTGCCCCCCGCTGCTGCTGCCGCTGCCGCTGCGGTGCCTGGGAGTGAGAGGCAAGCGAGGGGCGGATGGAACGGACGAGACGGGAGGAAAACGAATGGAACTGCTGCTGTGGCCCACTCACAATCACAATCACACCCACACTCACAATCATTCAGCCATACTCACACTCACTCGAACGCACTCATAATCACACACACATCAACCAACGCACATCCACACACGTCCACTCACATACGCATGTGCACATATACATACCACACACCCCATCACACGCCACCGCACAGCACCAGCACCCCACCAGCCCCCACCACAGCCCACCCACCGCACAGCACGCACATGCTCTCACAGCTGGCGCCAGCTGGCAGCGCACCTGACGCGTGGAAGGCACGGTGAAAGAGCGAGCTGCGCTGCCACGTGGCAGTGGCTGATTCGATTGGATTGGCACCGGCGAATGGAGCGGCGTGAGCTGAGAGGCAGTGAGGGGCGGCGTGGAAAGCGTGGTGGAGGTTGCAGTGCGCGCTACGGGAATGGGCGGGGCTCAGTGGAGCGACGTGGGGGGATGCGCGGAGAGGGGATCGCGCGTGGAGGGGGTGGGGCGCTGCGCCATGCGTGCCGGCAGCCCTCTCTGCGCCCTCAGCTGCCGCGTGACAGCATGCTGCTGCCCGTTCACCGCCACACACCGCCCCTGACCGCTCTGCTCTCCACAACACCTCCGCTGCTGCGACGTGGCTGTTCGCGACTTGCGTGGACAAGGCATGCGTGCGCGCGTCCCCTTGGATCTCCAGCGCGCCTGATGGTGCGGCCGTCGCGCATCCGTCGCCTGCACACGCGGAGAAGGGGAGTGACGAGCCGTCGAGGGCAGTGGGAAAGGAAGTGGGAAGGAATTGCGGAAGGCGAAGGGTGAACGACAAGCGAGGGACGCAGGGCGAAGCGTGTGGCAGCGACGACAGGAGCGGGGAGGACGAAAGAGTCAATGCACTGCCGCCTTGCTGCTGCGGCATGCGGCCGTGCGCCGTGCGCGACGGGCTCTCGTAGCGCAACGGACGGCGATCGGCGCGTGAGTACGCGCTGCGACGACCCACCAGCACTGTGGCTGCCGCATATCGCCGCGACGCCGCGCGTGGGCGGCGGGAGGCTGGCGAGGCCGCGAGAGCGCGCGTGGCGAAGCATGAGAGGAGGACTCGCGCGGATCTAGAGATGAGTCGCTTTGGCGCTGGAAGCGGAGTCAGTGAACGAGAGGGTGGAGTGCTAGCGAGGCAGCGAGGACAGTCGCACGCACACGGGTGCGGGCGGGATGGAGGAGGCACAGCGTGCTGTGGCTGGGGAAAGTGGCGACGCGGAGGACTTCTGGAAAGATCCACTCGCTCGGTGCAGTGCAGCAGCTGAACACCCTTCACAAAAACAATCGGCTCTTTGTACGGTACCATCCCCGCTTGGTTCTGATGTCTTCATGATTGTCTACCAAAGATGTTTGTAGTGTAAATACTATAGATAGAATGGAATCTGCTTATATAAGCAATTCCGTGACATACTTTTGGTGCTGTTGTATCGCTGTTGCATCTTGAAGGCGTTGGCAAGATAGGTAGAAATCGAGTAGCGGTAATCCCTAGAATGCGAGCTTGTGATTCGGCGATGCGACCCTAGCTCCGCTCGTCGCCGCGTCGTCTTCCGTCCACACACAGCGACACCCGGCGCATCGTTGCGCGGCGCGCGAGCGCCATGGACGAGCAGTCGCCTGAGAAGCGCTTCGCGCGGGCGATGCAAATCCTATCGCCGCCACTGGCGGCCCGATCTAGGTCCGGCAGGGATGGTTTGCCTGTCACGCTTGGCTTGGGTTATGTTCGACTTGACTTGGCTTGGCTTTTTGTCTGTCAAATTAGTGCTCTCGGCTGTTAAGCCTCGCCTGTCATTAAGTTTCGTCCTTCCGTTGTCGCCTGTTTCTCGCCTGTCTGTCGCCGTCATTCATTCCTTCTTTCCCCAGTACAGACACGCGGTTTTTTTTTCCTCCGTTCCTCTCGATGTCTGCCAGCTCAGCAGCCCGTCACACACTGACACCTGGATCCAGCGTGGCACCGTTCCGCGGCGTGGCGGCTCAAGCGGCGTTCAGCTCCAGCAGCGCGCCGCCGCGCGCCGCCCCGCCGCTCTCGCTGCGGCCGTCGCTGGGCGAAGCGGGAGGGGCGGGCTCCCCCGCGATGCTCGCGCACGGCGACGGTGCAGCGGCGGCGGGGAGCGCAGCGCGGGCGGGAGCGGCTGCGTGCCGGCCGTGGGAGCGCAACGACCTGCTGCGACGGCTGGCGACGTTCAAGTCCACCACGTGGTTCGCCAAGCCGCAGGTGCGCCGCCGCGCTGCTCGCACACTGCCTTGCTGCTCGCACGTTTTGCTCCATGCGCGGATGTGTGCACGGTTCATGCGAGTAAGCATCCATTTGCGCCTCGCGTCCCGCCTCTCCTCCTTCCCCCTCCGCCCCTCTCTCCTCTCCCCTCTCCCTCGGCAGGCGGCGGGGGCGGTGGCGTGCGCGCGGAGGGGGTGGGTGAACTGCGATGTGGACATGCTGGCGTGCGAGGTGTGCCACGCGCGCCTCAGCTTCTGCGTGCCACCCACGTGGTCCAGAGCTCAAGGTCTGTCTGTTTGTTGCCCACGTGCTCTCGTGTTTCTGGTCGGCTGCGTGCCTCTCCTCACCCACCCCACCTCCCCTCAGACACTCACATCACATCCACCCATCCCTTCCTCCTCCCCTTGGGACCGTGGGCGGCAGTGGAGCGGGCGGCAGCGGAGGTGGCGGGGCGGCTGGAGTCGGCGCACAGGCAGCACTGCGCGTGGCGGGGCAACGAGTGCGACGAGGCGCTGCTGCTCTTCCCCCCCCAGCCGCCCGCCGCGCTGGCCGCGGCCGTGTTTGAGCGCTGCCAGGCGCTGCAGCAGCTGGCGCGCCTGCCCGCGCTGGCGCCCGCCGCGGTGGAGCGCATGAGGCGCTGCAGCCCGCGCGCCCTGGACGCGCTGCTGGCGCTGCCCGCGCTGCCAGTGGGCGCACCGTGGGACGACCCCGTGGGGCGCTCAGCCACGCGCGTCACGTCCGACGCCGCTGCTTACATCGAGGTGGGTGCCGTGCCTCTCCGCACTCCCCTTCACGCCAACAACCCTGCCTGTGCGCTCCTCTGTCCCCTGCTCTCACACGCCTTGCCCCACCCCACGGCCCCACGGCTGCACATTGCTCGTGCGTGGGCAGGTGCAGCGAATCATCGCGGTGTGCGGATGGGAGCCGCGCGCCTGGGCGTGCTGCCAGACGCGCACGACCCGCCCCACGCCAACCACCGCCACCCGCCTGCACACCCCACCGCCCCTCTGCCCGCTCTGCCCCCCCATGGGCGCGCGCACGTGCCTGCGCGCCCCCCGCCTGGCATCCCTGCGAGCGCGGCGGTGCTGCAGTGCGCGCTGTGCGGCGCCAGCGTGGGCGTGTGGAATTACTCCACGCTGCCCCGCCCCCCGCCCCCCCCGCCCTCCCCCCCGCCTCGCCCCAGCTCTCCGCCCGCCAGGGGCCGGCAGGGGAGGAGGGGGCGAGGGAGCGGGAGGCACAGGCGGAGAGGGGCAGTGAGGGAGAGGGGGGGAAGGCAGAGGAGGAGCAGCGGGAGGGGAGAGTGGGGCGCGGAAGAGTCTCCCGCCCGCTCCTGCAGCGGCTGCCATCATTATCGCGCCTGTGGGGGGAATGAGCATCACGAGCCCCCCGCACAGGGCGGGGCTGGGCGCAGGGGGAAAGGTAAGGGGGCGGTGGGCAGTGTCCCAGAGGCAGGGGGGCGCGGGGGTGGCGGAAGGGATGGGGGAGGGCTCGGAGGAAGGGTGGGGGGGGAGAGAAGGAAGGGGATAGGGTAGAGGGGGAAGCGGAGGGAGGTGCAGGGGGAGAGGGCACGGGGAGGGGCATGGGGCCCGAGGTGGTCACTTCGCCCAGACGGGTGCATGGTCGGCGCGAGGGGGAGGACGCGATGGACGAGCAAGGAATCGCTGCCCCGCTTGCCGCTGCGTCCGCTGCCCCTGCCCTGGCTGTTGCTGCTGCTGCTACCCCTGCTACTGCCGCTGCTGCGTCTGCTGGTGGTGCCGGTGGTGGTGGTGTGGGTAGGAGAGCGGCAGCAGGCAGCATGGGTGCGCCTGCCTCTGTGGTGAGGAGGCGGAAGCAGGGGTTGGAGGCGGGGGGGGCGGCAGCAGGAGTTGAGGCGGAGGCAGTGCGCCCTGCTGCCCCCGTGGCAGCAGCGCAGTCAATAGCAGGCAGCGCCACGCCACTCGCAGCTGCCTCCGCTGCTGCACCACCACCGCCTTCCGAGCACCGCCCACCATCGCCAGGAGCAGCGATTGCAGGAGCAACAGCAGGAGCAGGGTTGGGAGCGGGCGGGGTGGCACTGGATCTGGGTCTGACCATCGCTGGCGGCCTCCCTCCCACGCACCTCTCCTCCTCGCCCCCCCCGCGCCCCTTCGGCTCTGCCTCCGCCCTCCCCCTCTTTGGCGCCGGCCTGCCCATTCCTGGCTGCCACCTCAGCAGGCCTGCCGGCGCCAATCCGGGGGCAGGCGGCAAGGCGGGGCGCAGGGGGGGGGAGGAGGAGGAGGGGGAGGGGGAGTGGAAGGGGGCGGAGGAGGGGAACCAGCAGGGAGAGTAGGGGTAGAGGGGGAGGGGAGGTGGAGAGGGAGGGGGAGAGGGGGGAGGCGTGGGCGCGGAGGGGTTTGGGCAGTGTTTGGGCGAGGTGAGCTTTGGGCGGGGGGGCGTGGCGGTGCTGCCGATGAACAGTGCGGAGGGCGTGGTGGCGGAGATGGAGGAGGTGTCGTCCGAGGAGGCCGAGGTGGAGGGCTCTCTGCGCGCCCGCGCTGCCCGCGCCAGGGGGGACGCTCACCGCGCCGCGGGCAGCAAGGGCGCGCCAGAGGGCGAGGCGGAGGGGCCAGTGGGCGGGCGCGCAGGCAGGGGCGCGTGGGGCAAGGAGGGCGGGGATGAGAACGAGAGGATGGAGGGGGGCGATGAGAGTGGGAGGGGGGAGGGGTGTGGGGAGACTCAGCGCCTGGAGGGCGGCGATGAGACCGGCAACGAGGGGGAGGGCGCGGGGGCGGCAGTGGCAGCACAGCAGAGCCGGCACGAGGGGGCTAGAGCCGACGCGGGTTTGTGCGTGAGCACGGGTCCCACGCAGGGCAGCAGCATGCAGGGCGGTGGCGCTGGCGGGGGGGAGGGCGCTGGGAGGGATCGTGTGGAGCAGCAGTTGTCGGCAGCAGCATTTCTTGTGCCGTCCACACGTGCTCCGGCTGCCAGCACGGCAGGCAGGGGAGGTGTGGGTGGGGAGGAGGGGGTGCCTGGAGGTGTGGCGTCAGCGGCAGGCAGTGGCGCAGTGGGGTGTAGTGCGGTGGGGCACGGCGATGGCGCACAGCAGCAGCGGGGCAGGGCGGTTGAGGGGCAGGGGAGGCGGGGGGGGCGGGCGGCGGAGGGCAGGGTGGGCGGCAGTGAGTTCCTGGAGCCGCCTCAGAAGCGCCGCCACGTGGACGCCTCCTCCTCCCACGCGCCCCGCCCCCCTGCCTCGCGCGCTGCCTGGGCGTGGGGCCACGAGGCAAGGCAGTGGGCGCAGGGGGAGGAGGGGCTGGGAGAGGGGCGGTTGGAGGGAAGGGGACGGGGGGCAAGGTTGGGGAAGCCCTGGGTGCTGCTGCTGCGTCTCCTGCTGTTGCTGCTGCTGGCTCCGTGCTCCTCTTCCTCCTGCTGCTGCTGGCGCTGGTGCTGCTGCTGAGGTTGCTGCTGCTGCGGCGGGGGCTGGTACTGCTGGAGGTGGTGGCGCAGCAGCAGGGGCAGGGGCAGGGGCGTT